GAGTCACTCAGGACGAGGTTCGATCTGCTTTGCAAGGTATGAAGAACCACGCCGCTCCGGGTCCTGACGGTATTAACGCCTTTTGGTGGAAGAGTTTTACCTCTGTGCATGTCCATCTGGCTCGGATATTCACGGCGTTCCTCGACGGCGGTGAGTCTGTTCCTGAATGGTTAGTGGAGGGGAGGACTGTGCTGATCCCGAAGAAGGGAGACTTGACTGATCCGGCGAATTATCGGCCGATCACTTGTCTGAATACACTATATAAGCTCTTCACCGTTATCTTGAATGAGCATATCCTCCATAATATACAGCCAGTGTGGCAGCAGATTCACGAACAACGAGGAGCAAACAGGGGACTGTCAGGTTGCAAGGCGGGTTTACTGCTCGATCGCTGCGTATTGCGCGATTCGTTGCAGTACCATCGCAATCTGTCGGTGGCCTGGGTCGACTATCGCAAGGCATTTGATAGCACGAGCCATGAGCTCATTTTCATGCTTCTCGAATGCCTTGCGGTAGAAGACAACATAGTGAGATGCATTAAAGATCTTGCGCCTCTCTGGAGGACGCGCTTCACTATAACATCTGGTGAGGGGAAGCTGACTTCAGGGTTGGTGCAATTCAGGAGAGGAGTTTTCCAGGGTGACAACCTGACTCCTCTTCTGTTCTGCATCTCACTGATGCCGCTCTCTGTTGCGCTGCGTTGTATTGGGGGATATCAAGCTGGAAGACCTGGCGATAGGAGGCACCAGGTTAGCCATGTATTTTACATGGATGACCTGAAGTTATTCGCCTCAGGAGAACGACAGCTCAAGCTTCTGCTTGACGTTGCCGCAGTGTATTCACGTGCGGTTGGCATGAGATTTGGGTTGGACAAGTGCGCCGTTTTCCATCTAAAGAGGGGCAAAGTCAGTGACGAGGTGGGTGATCTTCAGCTTGTGGATGGAAGCGTCATACATCATCTTGGCGCCGAAGAGTCATATCGATATCTTGGCTTCCATCAGCGTTCCGTAGTGGACGCTGA